GTCCTGCTCAACGCCCCCCTTCTTTTTTCTTTCCTTTTTTTTTTTTCCTAATTCGATAAGCAGAAACTCGAGCGCCTCCCCAACCCTGGCCTTTGGTCTTTCATAATCTGGGAGACAGATTCCGGACCGTTCCCCTTGCTTTCCTTACTTGCCTGAGGTCAAGGAGCTTTCTGAGTCTCCCTGGATACAGTCAAATCAAGACCTTTGCCAGTGGGAGATTCCACTTGTTCTGGAGCTCAGTGGGCGGAGTTTGAAAAAGATTGCACAACGAAGAGGGTAGAAGGCTTTTGGGGCCCCGGAACGAGAACTGCGGGGGGGAATGAGCCTGGGAAGGTTGAAACCCCCCCTTTTTTTTCCCCTGGCAGGTGAAAGATTGAAAGGTTCAGCTTGTTGGACATCCTGCTTGATCACTCGAAGCTATTTAATATATTTATGTATCTGGCTAATCTTAGAAATCACTCTTGTATGAAATTACGAAATACGTAATATTTTTCTAATGCGATTCATGAACTTCAAAAGGGAGAACAGAGGTCCATTGCACGTTTGAGCAAATGTCAAGCATCTGGCTCTTGCGGGCCCGTTTCTCTAAGATCCGGTGTCAGCGTGAAGGATGTTACTACCTCTCAGTTCCCTCTCTCACTTTGTATTCTAAAAGGATACAAAGGATTAAAAAAAGAGATCCAGTGCTTGTAGGACTGAAAAAAGCTGTGGGCGAATGTACTTTGGGGTTTCAACACTGTCACAGTGGACACTTGACTTACTCCCTCCGGGTGCGAAAGCTAGTCTCAGTGTTTGATTTCATAGGCTTCCCAGGAGAGAACTCCCGATAAAAAGCCACTGCATTTGAGGACATAAGTGCCCTTTTATGCCACTGGGATAAGGACAAAAAGTCATTGAATTAGGAACTGAGGTTTTAATCAACTGGTATTTTAAAGGACCAAGATAAGAGGTAATGACCCTTCCTGCAGAAAGTTTTGGCTAACACCTGGATGTGAATAGTCATAGGTCTCTCCACTGCCTTATTTTTGTTTACCCACGTTGTCCTCCTTTCATCTTTGCTAGTGTTTTTTTTTTTTTTTTTTTTTTTTTGGTACTGGGGATCTAACTCAGGTCCTTGCACTTGCAAGGCAGGCGACAGAACCACTGAGCTAAATCCTCAGCCCTGATCTTTGCTAGTGTTTCTGTGGGAATCTTTTTCTTTTTTGGTTTCCTACCGACTTTGACGTGGAACTGAAATACACCGTTAAATGTCAGTTTTTAAATCTTCATTTAAAAAATTGGACGAATGTTTTCAATTTTAAGCCTGCCTGGTGGTGTATGCCAATAATCTAGGCATTAGGGAGATGAGAGGACAGTGGCAACTTGAAGACCGGCCTGGACTACTTTGTGAGACCTTGTCTCCAAACACCAAAACAAAACAAGAAACAAAGCCCAAAATCCTAGACTCGGAGCCTTCACACCGAGCTGTATCTCCAGCCTTTTAAAAACATTTTACTTTGAGACAGGTCTCACTAAATCGCTTTTCTCAGGTCACTAACTTGATAAAATATTTTCTTATTTCTCTCTCTCTCTCTTTTCCTTTTTTTTGGGGGGGGGTTCCAGGGATCGAACTCGGGACCTTCTGCTTGCGAGGCAGGCAGCAGCACCACTGAGCTAAATCCCCAGCCCTTTTTCTTTTCTTTTCATATCGGGGAATCGAACTCTGAACTGTGCTTGTGAGGCAGAATAATTATTTTCTTTCCTTTCCTTTTTTTTTTTTTTTTTTTTTTTTTTTTTTTTTTAACGGGTATAGTTGAGACTGACCTGGAACTCACAATGTAGCCCAGGCTGGTCTCACAGCGATCCTCCTGCCTCAGCTTCCCGAGTGCTGGGATTACAGGTGTGCACCACCACGCCCAGCTTATGTAGTGTTTTAAATTTGTTAAATAAAAATTTTAAATTATGTCCCTCAGATGTACTAACCAAACTTCAGGTGTTCCAATAGCAGTATGGCTAGAGGCCACTGTATTAGAGGACGTCTATAGTATATCCATCATTCTGTTGGATAGCACAGTATCAAAAGGTGGCTGTGCACTTACCGAGTAGTCCGGGTGCTTTTATTTATTTATTTATGTATTTATTTTTAGTTGGGTTTTTTTTTTTTTTTGAGACAGAGCCTTGCTATGTAGTTCAGACTGGACCATAACTTGCCACGATCCTCTTTGCCTCAGCCTCCCAAGTCTTGGGATTACAGATATGTGCCATCACGCCTGGGCACATCCAGGCACATTTAGAATATCAAGCTCATTTGTATTGCTGCTTCTTTTTTTGGTTTTTTGAGACAGGGTCTCACTATGTAGTTGAGACTGACCTGGAACTCACTTTGTAGCCCAGGCTGGTCTCAAACTCAGAGCAATCCTCCTGCCTCAGCCTCCCGAGTGCTGGGATTACAGGTGTGCGCCACCACACCTGGTTACCTTTATATTGTTTCTTAAAGCCCTATGTAGAATTTGTTTCATAAGATTTTTTTTTTTTGTTTAAGTAGACATTTTGGAGCAATTTTTAGTTTTACAGAAAAATTGAGTAGAAAGTACAGAACCCCCGTTAAACTCTTTCAGAATACTGTTTCCCCTTATTTACATCTTGCACTAGTGAAGTACATCTGTTACAATTGTTGAGGCAACACTGCTAGGTGCAGTGATGCAAACCTGTAATCCTAGCACTAGGGTCGCTGAGGCAGGAGGGTCCATCGTGAGTTCAAGGCCAGCTTGGGCTACATAAGGAATTCAAGGGCAGCCTGAACTACATGACTATAGCCTGTCTCCAAAAAAAGGAAATAAAAATATATAAGACAACTAAAACTAAAACCACAAACATTAGTATTGCCTCCGCCCATAGTTCACCTTAGGGCTTACTCTGGTGTTGGACGTGTTTGACAGATGTCTAATAATATATAGCTCACCTGCCTCGGAAGCACAAGGCCCCAAGTTCAATTCCCAGTACCAAAAACAAATTGTATACATATACATATATATATATATATTTACCTACCATTACAGTGTCACAAAGAATAGTTTCACTGCCCTGAAAGTCCCCATGCCTCTCAGTCATCTTCCTTTCTTCCTTCAAAATAGTGGCAAAGCTGATCATTTTACTCTCTCCATGGCTTTGCCCTTTCCAGAATGCTAAGGTAGGTTTTTTTGCGGGAGGAGGAGGTGGTTGTTGTTTTTATACTGGGAATTCTGGGGATTGAGCCCAGGGCCTTTATACTGAGTTATAGCTCCTTCCATTAAAAAATCTTAAAATTTTGAGCCTGGGAATTTAGCTCAGTGGCACTGTGCCTGCCTTGCAAGCACAAGGTCCTGAGTTCAATCCCCGGTACCAAAAAAAAAAAAAAGACAAAAATATCTTAAACATCTTGGTACGTCACTAAGGTGCCTCGGCTGGGCTCAAACTTGTAATTCTCAAGCCAAGTGTGGGTGGCTCATGCCTGTAATCCCAGCACTCAGGAGGCCAAGGCAGGAGGATTGCCCAGAGTTCGAGGCAGCCTGAGCTACTTGAGTTCAGGGCCAGCCTGAACTATAAAGTGAGACCCTGTTTCCGAAACGAAACAACCAAGACCTTTCATGTGAAGGTACAAGATCCCAATAATGAATACAACTGTACTGTATACCTAAAATGTACCAATAAACTCAATGAGGAAAAAAACAAAACAAAACAAAACTTGCAATTCTCCTGCCTCAGACTCCTGGGTGCTAGGCTTACAGGCCTGTGCCACCATGCCTACCATTGTTACCTCAACAATTTAAACTAAATTTTTGCTTGGAAATGTTAAAAAGTACTTAGCTACTATTAAACATATTTTTAGGTTCATAAAATATTTAGAAGGTTAAAAATATGTGGAGTTTAAACTCAACCAACTCTTCCTTTTAAATAGTGCTCTAATGCATTTGTTTGTTTTTGTTTTGTTTTGTTGGTATTTGAGACAGGGTCTCTCACTGTGTAGTTCAGCCTGGCCTCGAACTCTCACTCTGGGTGATCCTCGTACCTCAGCCATGCGCCACCACGC